CAACAAGAAATGTAAATTTTAAATGTTTGTAAGTCTATAAAACAGTGTTTCACAAGCTATTATTTGACAGCTGTCACTATCTGTCAAAAATACAATTACAAACAAACAAGTTGGATCATGAAATGACAGCTGTCACCTTGTGTCAAAGGAACTCTTGTTATACTTTTAGCAAGTATAAATACAAAGGATTGAAAAACGCTGGTATAAAGTATAAAATATTTACTTTGGATTTGGTACAAGGCAAGTAACTCTTGAATAGACAGTGGCTTTTGAAAAATCCAAATATCTGATCCTAAATGGAAGAGCGAACAATGCTCCCAAAGCGATGTCGAATTTGTCTAAAACAACTCCACCTAATGCACCAGATCCAGTCCAGTTCGTGTATATCGATCCCCACATAATAGCGTCCATCACTATCGAAGTCATGTTTAGTTTCTTTGCGAATTCCAATACGAAAAGCATTTCGGATCCCAAACTACCATCTAAAATAATAAATTTAAAAGAATGTTTTGTATATTATAAATTTTCTTATATAACTTATGCAGCTGTAAGGTATGTAGTTTACGGCTCCAATCTTCAAATCTCTTCCATGCTGATTGGAAATTTTATCAGGAAATAGATTGGAGCCATGCAGGAAGCTTCGATTTGCAACATACCAAATATCTAAAAATACAGGAGTATTTGTACCAAATTTACCAACATATTTATGCGTGAAAAGCACATAACTTTCATCAGATGTGACATTGATAAACAACACGTCGCTCACATAATCAAGAACTTGATCATTGGCTTTATCAAATTTATCGGTGATAAAAATCAAATATTTGCGATTATTGAATCGAGCTTGAGATTCTTTACGTAAATAATTCTCAACTCGATTCATAGCCATCAAAGGTGATCGATCATTTGAGATGATGAATCCATCGCAACGTTCCCTATCACCAAAATTTAACATACTTTCGTTGGAGAACACAATAATTGGTATTTCTTCAATTTGGAGAGGATGTTGCAAATTGTTGATGACAATAATGCAATAGCTGCCAGCAAAGTACGTTTTTAGTAGCACGTTTGTGAACGTGCTAATGTCTGACAACATTTTGATCGCAGGAACTATTAATCCCCGATTAAATACTCGATATTGGGGGGAAAAAGCTTTCATTTACTTTTAATTATCATTGATTTCGAAAAGTTTACTGGGTTTTAATGCCCTCTTTTTTTATTGAACTACGCATTCCATAAACTTTTACCGAGATAATTGTACAGGTCTATGATTTTCAATAGTTGTGCTAACTGTAATTAGTAATTTCTACGTATTAATTAACATTCATTGGTTATTCTTGATGAAATCTTCGATTTCTTTTGATATACGCATGAACAAGTATCTCTATTAAAAAAACAATAATAGAAACGGATATAAGAATGCCCCAAATTCCGAAAGTTCCCTCAACGTGATTCCAACGAAGCTGTATGGGTTGCGTGTTGTGCTCCTCGTGTTGACTGGAAAACTTCACAGCTTTCAGCACTTTTGCATTCAAGAAGGTTGTGGCAACCTAAAAAATGATGTAATTATCAAGCTTTTTTGTTATAAGTAGAAGGAATTTTTCGTACCCTGAATTCCCAAACTTGCTGTATTCCCGTTTGTGCTACTCTCAATATATAGTCATCCAGATACGGCATCCAAATAGAGCTCTTCCGGGTCATCAAAACGCAATTCTCCCAATATAAGTCTTCAGACATCAAGCGGAGATCAGCAACACCTTTTTCAGTTACGTAATCTCCAATCGCGTAATAACCTAGAAATTAAACTAAATATAATATTTAGTTAATTTACTTAGTTATTTACCAGCAGGTAGTCTTTCAACGGAAAACGCAAAACGTTTGTTGTTCATTTTTTCCAAATGAGCAGCATCGGTCTTAAGGAATCTTTCCACTAAAGTAACGTAGTTATACTGAAATTATGTTTTTTCTTTATTTTATTTATTAAATGCGTATTGTTGCTTACTTCTGGAGCGCCCATGATGGACATAATCCATGCTATAGACGTCGCGCCCCATTGAATTTTGCTGTCCACCAAATCTTGAACGGTTTTTATGGCTCCAATGTATCTAGGTACGGTCATACTACTTGCCAATCCGCTGCTGTAACTGCTCGCCGCAAGTAAACTGAAGATGAACATGCACGCGTATAAATACTTCCCGAAACCTTTCTTAACTTGCTCCTTTTCGGGCAAAGATTGCAGGAGGAAAACGCCGGAGGTACTGAGAATTGAAGTAGTCAAAATTTCTGATCCATCCAATCTCCTTTTAACGTTTCTACAATGATTAAAACAAATGTATTAGGAAAATTTGCAGTTCTTAATGGAGAACAAACTGTTGGTATAATTTAGCACGGGCCTTGTACAAATCAAGCAGGAACAACGTAATTGAGCAGACGAGAAATGAGAGGCCAACTGCTATCCACATGTCCAATCCAAATGGAAAAAATGGTACTAACCAACCACCAGCCAAACTAGAAAATATAATAATAACAGTTAAAACAATTATAATTGAAATATATTCATCTGAGTGGTCCGTCTTGCACTGTCCAGTTTTAATATGTTATTTTCAGATATTATTTTAACCATTTTAATATGTTATTTTTAGCTATTATTTTAAGCATTTTAATATGTTATT